AGACATCGCCCCGGTGGAGGGCGAGTACCAGAAGTACAAGATGATCAAGAAGCGACTGGCTCAGCTCACCAAGTAGCGCGGTGCGGTACGATGCGTTGCGTTCGTGTGGGCGAGATCGATGGAACCGTCGTCGTTGACGGACCTGCCTGTTGCCTGTGTTGACTTCGCCGCGAGCCGTTCGAAAAGCCGGTCAACGGACAACGGAACCGATGTTCCTTCTCCACGCTTTATGCCAAGCTAGCTTCCTTCCTGTTGTCTTCCTTGTCGATGTCATTCCCAGCACGAGATGGGGGCGCTGCAGCAGCAGCAGCAGCGGCGGCGGCGGTGGCGGAGGCGGACGCGATGGGGACGAGCAACGGTGCCCGCGGTAGCAGTGCGGGGAGAGAGTGAGGCGTGAGCCTCTGCGTTGCACTGCTGTCGATGTTCGATGTCGGGGTTACCGGATGGTCTGGTATTTGGAGACATCCTGCTGGACCGATGGTTGTACCACCTTTCTTTTTGTTCTGTTTCCGATCTGATAAGGGCAGACAGCGAGCGTTGCGATGGTGCGGGGTGTGCTGTAAATTGGCGTGTCTTCAGTCTTGCTAATCTAGCATTGTGCTTTTGTTTTTGTCGTAATTTTTCGTCCCAATGTCAAGAGGTTGTTCGTTGTTGGTTTTGTTCCGTTTTTTTGTTCTGTTTCGGGTGTCGCACCGTCAAGGGTTATGTATAAGCACACGTATACCATTTTTTTTTCTGGCCAACACCATGTGTCACTCGGGAGAAAGTTGGTGCTTCCTTATGGGTGTTGAATTCGCGAGGACGCTGTCGTTTGATGTTCATCTTATATGTGGGCGCGGTTTTTGCGTACGTCCTGTGTCGAAAAAGAACGTCTGCCTGTTTAGGAGAAAACCGATCCGATTCAAAGAGTAAACACGTGCTTTGGTCGGTCCACGATTGGAAGAACTCTCTGGGGCAACTACCGGCGTATGGTCAGCGCCCTGATTGTTTCCATTTGATGGTGCAGCTGCTCATGGGGGCTGACCTTCGTGTTTGATGTGTTCGAGTTGCAGGGCAAGTGGGAGTTCCCAGTGTGTGGAAAGTGTCCGGTCTAAAAGAAGGGCTTGCGTATGCGTGTCCACAGGCTAGTTTTGCTGCTGCCGAGCGTTAGGGCAGGGGCGGCTCGGAAATGGCCGTTGCTGGGGTACTTCGGTGGTCACGGCTCGACCTGCTTGGCTGTAGCATGTGTGGTGCGTGCATGTGTGTGGTGCGTGCATGTGTGTGGCGCGTGCACATGGGCGTGCCACCCACCCTTCAGAGTGCTTGGCGATCGATGCCAGATTAGTCGTCAGTTGCGGTCTGTTCCTACACAAACGGATACATTGCTCTTCTTTGTGGCTCCAGCACCCCCCCTCCCCTGGGGAACTTATCCGAGATCACCCGCTGCGCCCATCGATGTACACGTCTTCGGAGTGGGATTACTCGCCTACATATTATATCTGTGCGTGCTTGTGTTTTTGCCCCAAGCTAGGTGTATTCGTGCGGGACAAAAAATTGAACCGCATCATTTTTTTCTGTAGCGTTTTTGTTGTTGTTCGTGTTGCATGGGTCGCCTGAGTCGTTGTGTCGAATGTTCCATCCGTCTGTGTTCTACTTCGAAGTACCTTTGTTTTTTTTATCGCGATCTGTTCTCGTTATTTCGAAAACATTGTTTACCCCCATTCTTCCCACACGCTCTGGTCTCTCTTCGAGCGAGTGCGATATATGACGATTCGTGAGTAGCACGGGTGGTCTAAAACGCGGTACAGTAGAGGTCCCTGTTTAGTGCCGGTTGAATAGTGCCGGTTGCCGTATAGTGCCGGTGTTTTCAGTTCGCACACACTGGAATACCAAGTCTTTCTGTCTTCGAATAGTGCTGGTGTCCGGTTTAGTGCCGGTGAAATTTCGGTGCACACCCCGGCACTAAACGGGGACTTGCACTGTATTTTATGTGCAATCACGCTTACAGCAGCAGGAGACGAGTGTACAAGTACGGACCTACAAGCAGCTATTTTTGGTGTGTTACGGAGCCACGGCAGACGTTCGGCGGTATTGTTGGTCGCAAAACAAATATAAACAGAGACTGCCCAAGCCTCCTCTTTCCCCAACCCGCTCTCTGCTGCCGGGCCAAAATAAAACTGGGCGCAAGATCGAGCTCGGGCCGCCCGAGCAATGCTATATATTCACTTCAAATATGTGTTGCGGAAGAAGCTGCAGACAAAGAACAAGAATCACCCGCTGTTGCGTGTCCAAGAAGACACACACGGTCGGCGATCAGAGTCATTCTCGCGATGACGATGTAGTAGCAGCAGCAGCAGCAGCGGCCACCTGTTTATGGGGTATTGATCAGGCCGGTCGCCCCGTGAGTGAAACCGCGTCGACACGGTAAACGTAAAATATTCGAAGTTGTCTCGTACTCTGACTAGTGGCAGGTAGGCGCCTGGTTTATGTGGCCGAAATTCCTCGGCGCCATGCGGCCGGCCTTAAACACAAAGCACCCGCCGCTGGTGGTAAGAAGCACCCCGAAGACGGAATGAAGGCGAAAAAAAAAAAACTCGTCGCGTTTGAGACCAAGCGTGTGATATCACATCAACGAAAGAGTAAAACTGACGTCCAGACCAGGCGGGGTGAGCACGCACACAACGCTGCGGTAGGTGAGGTTGCGGTTAGCATCTCAGACCAAGGCGATCCTTGCACACACGTATGTCGTGTGGGGGGAACCGACATAACACAATGTTTGCCTGTGGCGGTATTTGGATCAGTTACACCAACGAGACGGTTCGCGTGTAGACGCAAACACATGGCTGGCGACTCCTGCGTCCCAGCATCCACAGCAGTACGGTAGTGGCGTAAGCAGGGGAGACGTACTCATCCTTCAACATGGCGATCACGGCAGAAGTAGTACCCCCTCCTGCAAATGTGCACCATGCGTCTCGGACAGCATTTTGACGGTGGACCGTATCCAGCGCCAGCGAAACCCAGACCAAACCATACACAAACGCGAACACATTCGCCTACAAACGACAAAAAAACTGCAAGGTTTGTGCCCTGAGGGCTTCTTCTTCCGCAGCGGTCTTTCCCCCTGCATGATTGTTCGCTGTGTTCGGCCAAAGGGCCGTCGCGCGCGCTATTTAGCCACCAAACGTTCTACGGGCAACCGACAGTACGGCAGCTCCTCCTCTGCCCCCACAGCGCATTCAGCAACACCATGGCCACGGCCACCGTCATCTCCCACGCTAACGCCGACCATGAGACCGATGAGCACCGCAAAACTGCTGTGGTACGTATGAACAACGCACCACACCAAACAACAACAACAGCGACGACGATCCAAAACTGGTGAGATCGAGCGAGCCGGCCGCCGTGAGGCGAACACAACATCGCGACAGCGTTACGGTCCACTCCTCCGCATGAAGCCAAGAATCGACGATCCCATCCAACCGCCAAGAGTTGTCAGGGGAGAAATCCCGCCCGCTGTCAGCCGAGCAGACTGGGCGCCCAGCCCGGAGTGCAAGTCGGAGGAGACTTCTACTGCTCCGAGAGGATGGGATGCAGAGAGGGAAGGGAAGAACAGGAGCGACATCGGAAGGGAGGTTCGGAGCGAAAAACCCAGGTAAAATAATCAACACCCGATCATGAAGTATGTGTTGTCAGCGCCGGTACTACTCATGAACAAGCTTTCTACCACAAGGTTCCAACCGCGGCAAAGCATCCACATGCCGCCAGAACCGTTTCGAGGGTACCAAGGAGACCAGCGGAGCGACGGCGCTTTGTGGAAGGGAGGAGGCATACAAAGGCACAGGTGCTAACTGTTCGTAGCCTCGCCCCCCAAGTGCCTCAAGACTGATGAACATACCAACGGGGGGGCATGGGATGCGACTTGTCATTCGCTTCCCTACGAAGAAAGGAAAACACCCCCCAAAATTCTCTCCCGGGTCAAAAGACTCAGCATACCCAAACATTGCACGCGTTGTCCAAGCCTAAGCGTTCAGGATCCAGTTGCCCTTCGCAAGCAAAGCTCTGCGCAGCCCCCGATAGCATCATACCTTCTTGGGTGTCCTTCCTGGTGGCGGGAGCTCGTACCGATGCCCACGCGGGTACTGCACGCCGTGGACAAGCGACAAGTCGACCATCGAGGGGGGAAGGGAGGCGGGGATAATCCTTGTCACATTGTGTCGGCCCACCAGAGACCCATGGAACTGGCGGAACAGAGCCACCAAAGTACGCAACTACCCGGCCAGCAATGCACCAAACACAACAGGGTGCATGAGGCAACATCCCCAGTAACACGGTACGCACACACATTTCCACTGGTCACCCGGTCTGCGCGGTTTGATGCTACAGCAACGAAACACACACGTTTGCACCGACAACGAACAAATGCCATCAAATACGCAGTACGCAGCGGCGCCGAGTCCAGAGGGTCATTGTAACTGGAAACAGGGTGGGTCGAACTATCAACTCCCGCTCCGACAGGCGTAGCGTACAATCCATCAGCACAATAAGGACTACATGACGGGAATCCACAACCGCGGCACGTCCACTACGCGAGGGTACGCCATGACGGCAAGGTTTGGGTTGTGCAGACGCTGATTATCGATGAGTCTCATCTGCCATTTTATTTGAGTGTACCTTTTTAGGGTAAGTTAGCCTGCGACCACGGGAATCGACCGAGTCGAGTGTTGGATCAGTACGGACATACGAAGGTACTGGGTAGAGAGAGATTGGAACGGTTTTTGATGTCAAGACAACAACAACAACAATCTGCATTGGAGGAGGACATGGGGACCCGCTCCAAAACCTTTTAACACAACCGAATCAAGGGTTGCATTGGATGGCTTGGAGGGGCGCAAGCCCGGGGCCTTGTCCGGTATTCTGACGACTGCGATACAGTCAGCTCGTTTTCGACAATAGCGTGTTGCCGAGCCCACACGGTAAGCGTTATTAGCGTCCACGGTCATCACCCTAATAAAGTCCACTTTGCCAGCCGGTTCAAAGCAGTGGTACGCACAGCTCGGCGCTTGATATATTTGCTTTGAGTCTTTGCACGAGGAGCGACTTGACGGTCGTCGCCCCCAATACGACACCCACGACGGCGGGGCCCAGCGCCTTCCCCTCCCTCCCGAACAAGTAGGATGGACAGACTTACGACGGCTACGACGACAACGGCGGCGTTACGACAGGTCCGCATATGTAAACTCACGCCATGGCAAGCTAGACAGAACCCCGGGCGCGCCCGTCGCCAGAGGGTGAGGAGGTCTCCAAGAGCTGCCGGCGGCGGAGTCACACTTGGGTGCGTTTTCGCTACAGGCGAACGCTCCGAAACCGCGACGGCGTGAGTGCCCCAGCCCTTCCTCTTGCTGCTGCCACGCCGGCACGCCCGCGTCGGTGTGGAAACCTTGTCGCTGCTTATGCTTCTTCACCGATTTGCTGGGGTGCGAACCGGGGTGGGAGGTGCAGACCCGGGGGGGGGGGGGGGGGG